CTAAGAGGGGCAGTGGTGCATCAGCGAGGTCACTTGACTAGTATCACCCACGTCCTTCTCTCGAACCTTCGTGAGTTATCGGAAGACTACTAGATTGGGGATAGTCTGGTATATATAAGATGGTCACAACGTGACAAGGTAATGAGTAATTGAACTGCAGTCAGAGAGTGTGTAATTGAACTGAGCACGTGAGACGTTCGTTGTTATAGCGCGACTGTTGAAATTAAGTGTATCGCAAAGTTATATTCAAAAAGAATAAACCAGTTTTATTTAAGAAAGGACTTGTGTCGCTAAAGTTTCGTCGGAACGAAGTTACGGAAAATTAACTAACTAACGTAGATGTAACAATATAATGTGGTTTGAAGAGCATTCGTAATTGAAGAGATCGTTATTAACATGTGAGAATTCGATGACGAGGAACCCACTTTGAGACGAATAATGGTAGGAGACGGCTTGAATTGGTAATGAAGAAAACTTTGATATAAGTTTAACATAACAGCAAATGTACAACGTTTCGTCTGTGTAAATTACTTGTATCTGATGATAACAAAACCTTTACGAAACGTTGTGCATTTGCTGTTATGTTAAATTTATATTAAAGTTTTTCTTCATTACTCATTCAAGCCGTCTCCAACCATTATTAACATGTGAGAAGTTGTCACACTCTCACGCTATTTGAATTTCGCTTTTGCAGTGAACGATATTACGATTCTGAAAGTTTAAAGAAACACCAAATTATCACAGTAATAATGCGGTCGATTTTGCTACTTCCACATTTTTCATGTAATAAATATAAAACCAATCTTATTATTAAAAGTCGACAGAGTTTTATTATTATTATTATTATTGTTTTGTACTTGCTTTTCGGTTTCAAGTGTCAATATACGTCAGGTTTTTATTGCGTACTTTGACCATAAAGAGCGGTATAGTAGGCCTAAGTATTATTAGTATGATATTAGATTTAATCTTACTAGTTTTGAACAGTTTTTCATTTTTTAAAGAGCAGTTTAAATATTAAAAGTGATAAAAAATCGTTCGCATATCTTTTTGTAATTCAAAGCATATCACGTTAAATTGTAGAATATAATGGGTATTGATTTCAATGCTAATGGCAACGGAATAGGTTTAGGAAACTTTCCTGGAAAGACGTCATGGTTTGAATTTTTACTCGATAAATCTCGACTTGAGGCACATCTTAAACAAGATACAACAACTGGTAAGGTTTGACGTCTTTATTTAAATTTTCATGGCTATTTGTAATATTTGTTTGGTGTTTTTTACAACTGAATGGAGACTGGTTGCACTGCTACTACTACTACTACAGTACTGAGTACTAGTACTACTGCTGTACAGATCAGCTTGGAAAGGTTTATTAATAATATTATTACTTATTGTTAGGTCTTACTACTCATATCTAGACGTGATTTTATTTTTAAGGTTAATTAAACTATGTACCGACATTTCTGGGTATTGCAGTCATTATGATTAAGTTTCGAGTTCAAGGAAGCAAATTATCTTTATTGTCTAACCGTTATCTTTGTAAAACTGTTTGTATACAGTATTTTATAGAATATTACAAATAATTATATGAAACACATTCTTTATCCATAATATTGTTGCTAAGTTGCTATAGTTGTGCAACACACAAGGGAGAACATGCAAAAAATAACAGTTGTAGAATATCATCAGGAGCTGCAAACCCACTAATGAGACAGTATATTTCACTCTTACATTTTCTCCATAACCAGCATACCTAACATTGAACATAAGCACTGCCTGCAGATAATGGCTGTTACTGGTTCTACTAAACATGAACACAAACACTGTCTCCAGACAGTGGGTGTTACTGGTTCTACTAAACATGAACACAAAAACTGCCTTCACACTGTGGCTATTACTAGTTCTACTAAACATGTATACAAATACTGTCTCCAGACAGTGGGTGTTACTGGTTCTACTAAACATGTACAGAAACACTGCCTTCACACTGTAGCTATTACTGGTTCTACTAAACATGTATACAAATACTGTCTCCAGACAGTGGGTGTTACTGGTTTTACTAAACATGAACACAAACACTGCTTGCAGACAGTGGGTGAAACTGATTCAACTTAACACGTACACAAACATTGCCTCCAAGCTGTGACTGTTACTGGTTCTACTAAATATGTACACAAACATTGCCTCCAAACTGTGGCTGTAACTGGTTCTACTAAACATGAGCACAAACACTGCCTTCAAACAGTGGTTGTTACTGGTTCTACTAAATATGTACACAAACATTGCCTCCAAACTGTGGCTGTAACTGGTTCTACTAAACATGAGCACAAACATTGCCTTCAAACAGTGGTTGTTACTGCTTCTACTAAACCTGAGCGCAACAACTTAATTTTGAACATAAAAGCTCAGATTTTGTTATTTTTCAGCAATTTTTTCAGATGGATGCTTGTAAATGGAATAAAATCATTTTCCAATCCTTACTGTCTAAACTTCAGTCCATACATTAATTCTATGTTGGTTATTAAGGTAACAAATATAAAGAAGATGGCATCAAGTAGAAATTGGTAATGTGACATTTGCTATTTCATAACAATTCCTATGGATGATAAGGGCTAAAAGTAAAGTTTTTAGTGTTTTATATGGCTGTTGAGATGATTTTGATGGGGAGGGGTTTTTATTGTGACATTTATCAATATGCGGAAGAAAGCCCTTTATGTGCATTAAAATAAGTTAAGAATGTAAATCCATATCGACTGTTTTAGGCATAACAATCAAGGTCTCTCTTCTTCAGAGTAGAACAAACCTTAGTTGGGAAATCATACATTTAATAGAGCTATAAAGTCCCATTATGATAGAATATATGACAAAAGCATGTATAATCATTTAAAAGTGTTTTTTACAGAAACTGCAGCTGTTGACTTAATTACTGACTTCCTGAGAAATGCAACAGAAGTGAATGGAGATCAAGTTAGCTCAGCAACTCAAGTTTCACAAGCTGCTTCTGTACTTACCTCGAATCAGAATTCTCTAGCTGGGTCCATTGGAGTTGAAGGCATTCCAGTTGAACCATCTGTTGCACCAGGTACTTTTATGTTCTACAGAATAAAGGTTTTTGCTGGAGCAAGTAAATAACAGGTTACTGTAGTGTCATTTGCTTGGAATCTTTATTTTATTTATGTAAGGCAACAATATGTCTTGTACATAAATTATGGGGCACCTAGAGGCCTTTTGGTACATCAAGGATCTTCTCCTTTAACAGCTAGTTCCACACATTTACCATCTTATTGGAGAAATTAAGCTGCCTCAACCGGAGATGTGTTAGAACTTTTGAAGACTCAAATTTATAGCCTCTTGCCCTACTGCACTCAGAATTCAGCACAAAATGAATTGATATGCCAATCTTATCAGGTCCCATAGTAATTTTGAATTTTCAATTTTATAAAGTATAACTTAATTGTACATGTAATTGCATTCTTGTTCAAATGAGTTTGTGGCATAGTATCTACAAATGCACAAGCTACAGTACATTTATTTTTGTTTTTATATACTTGTAGGTTGATGTGACTGTGAAGTATGACATAACTGTACGTGTAGATACATTCTAGTTAATATGACTATGGCATACAGTCTACAGTTGCATAAGTTACAATACATCTAGTTGTATAGTAGATGTAACTGTGTAAAGTGTGACCTAATTGTACAGATAAATACATCATTATTTTGTTGTTAAATTAAAAATATACAGAACTTCTATGTGTACTTAAACCTTTGTTATGGTAGCTGTAATTCTGATACAGTACCTTACTTCTGCTCAGATAAAGCTTTTTTGTTCAGTGCTGCCTTCTATATATGCAATTTTTGCTTGCCACTAGCCTAGATACTCCCACCAACCCCCACATGGGATACAGCTGCACTGTAGCATGCAAATAAGCATGTGACAGTCCTCCACCAATTGGAGTGTGACAAACCCTCCTGGTACAGCTGACTCCCTCTATACTGTAGAGCCCAATCTTCACTTCTCAATTCATGTGTATAGCTTGCTGTTACTTTACACTTATAATTTTTGTGGGGCTTATGCATGATTTTCCAACACCTACCTTCATTAAAAAAGTTTTTCTCTTTAATTTTTTTTCTTTCTTTTCTTGGATTACCAATTTTACTTTCCAAGAAAGTTCAACTGTGGATTGTGTTGCCCACATTTTTTCAAAATGAATTCTCAATTTACCATCACCATGACCTCAACTGATACAAATAACACAGCTAAATGACCTGCTCTGACTTTAGCTTCTACCTTATCTGTATAGGAGGTTTCAGCTCTTGTCCACCATGAATTTGAATCTTTCATGTGGCCTAAGAGCTCTGAAGCTGGACTGGGGAAACTGGTCAGGATGACAAGGATTTTGACAGCCTTTTCCTAACACCTTCTTTTGCTGTGCAATATCAGTCTATGCCTTTAAATGCACCTTGGCCTTCATCTGCATTCCTGGACATGGTGACACAAGTTTGTTACATTTTGTTATTGTCCCCTATGTCTTATGATCCCTCTCTTTTACATAATATCCCTTCCTTTAATATTTAGTTCTGCCTCCCTCTCTTGATATTGGGGTCTAAGCAGATCATTTTTGTGGATCAGTTACATTCTGGAGTCAGCATGTCTCATCTCCCTCGTTCCTCTACAGCTCCATTCCTTGATTCTTAACATTTGGACTCATTAATTCAGGTTTGAGGTTCAGACACCTTTACATCCATTCATTTTCCCAGACTTAGTTTTTCTGCCTTCATTTGACCCTTACCACCTTCCTTCATTACCTCTCCTCTATCCACCTCTTATCTGAAGCTATCCATCATTCCCCTGAGGAGTTTTCAGTGGAAACTTGATCCTTCCTTTTCTCCATTTTGGGCATTTGTCTTCTTCTGCTCTTTCCCTATACATCTGGCTCCTTTGTTGTTGGGATTTTTTGGATTGAGTCACACTTTTAACTCATTGTGTCTACCCACCATATATTCAGGTGATTTGCATATGGCCTCCTTTCTACATCAGTCTGTTTTGGGTGATCTACCTGATTCTTTGGAGTTTCATGTAGAGGCTGCTTGACAGCACACTTCCCTATTTTCCCTCATCACTCGTTTGTTTCAGCCTTCTCCTACTCATGTGCCTGTTTCCTGCCCCTCTCCTTCCTCATCCTTGCCTGTACCTTGTTCACAGATTTTGTCAATAAGTTGATGTATTGCTTACCACCAGTCTTTTTGCTTCTAATGATTCCAGTGACTATCCAGTAGGTACGAGGTCTCATAAGGGCCAGATTTTTTCCCATCTTTGGCACACTTTAACCACAGATATTTGGGTGCTTCCAGTTTTGTCAGAAGAACACTCACTTCATTTTCTCACCCCTCCTCAATTATCCCCCAATCCTTTTCCCATTCCTCCTCCTAAGGATCTCATTTCCAGCCAGCAACTTTCAGAGGGGGTTCAAGATATTTTCAAGGATGCTATTGAACTAGTTAATCACCCTCCTTCAGGATTTTATTCCCAGTTGTTCATCATCCCCAATAAGCCTGGGAACCTGCATCTGGTCATAGACCTTTCTAGTTTGAACTGTTACATAGACCTTCCTCATTTGACCATGGAACCTTTCAACTCACTGCAATGAGTGTTTACTCTAGGTCATTGGATAATGAAGGTAGAAGTATGGGATGCATACCTTCATATCCCTATTTCACCAACATCCCGTTGCTACCTTTGGTTTATCCATGAGGGCTGGGTCTATCAATTCCATTCTCTTCCATTTGATCTGACCTTGGCTGCCTATGTTTTCTGTTGTGTAGTCTAGGCTTTTGCCCATCTATTACATTCACAGACTGTGGTTTCATCATTGTCTGGATGACTGGCTACTGATAGCTCCTTCGCTACAAGCATCTTACAGTGACATACAGTTTCTTCTTGAAGAAGCTGCTCATTTGGGTTGGCTTGTCAAGGTGGAGAAGTCCATTCTTATCCCAGTGTACTACCTCATCCACCTGAGAGTTCTTTTCAACTTCCCTCTCAGTCGGGCCCAGTCTTCTCCCCTTCAGCTGCATTCTATGGAGCTACTGGCTCTGAATGTTTAATCCTCTCCTTCACTATCAGCTCATGATGTTCTATCTCTTATTCCCCTGGCTCATGCACACATAGAGGCCTCTAATGGAATTTGTAAGATCAATGGAATCCTGCCAGGGATTTCCTAGATTCCTCTATCATCTTTCCTCCATCCCTTAAAGTCAAGTTTGCCTCAGCAGAGACAACACCTCTTCTGCCTCCCTAATCAGATTTACACCTATTCACCAATGCTTCTCTGATGGGTTGGGGGTGTATTTGGACCCTCAAGTGTTTTCAAGTCGTTGGTCTTTGGTCGAGTCGTGATCCCACATCAATTTTCTGGAACTCCTAGCAGTGTTTGTCTCTTTTACAAAATACTGGTCCACTAAAACAAAGCCAATGCAGGTTACTCTGTAAAGTCCAGACATGGTAACATGATTGTATGTGTGCCACGTCATTGCAACTTCTGTAATGTTAGTCAGACATGGCTGAAAGGTCAATAAGATAAAAATAATAGATATGTGTATCTATATATATAGTTGTATAATGTTGTGAGACTTAAGCTAAACATTTGTGGTTTCATGTTATAACTTTTAGCCATTCTAGAATAAAAAAGTGTAATTTATATCTATTTCCTAATTTTTTATGGTGGCTTATGAGGTCGGTCAAATCGGCCAACACGAAAACACAAATGTTTAATCTAAATAGCTTAAATCTCATAACATTATACATTTAGATATATTATTTTTAATTTATTATATTGATCTTCCTGTCATGTCTGGCTAACTATACAGAAGTTAAAATGACAAGGTGCACGTGCACTCATGTTACCGTATCCAATAATATAAAACTGACCATTAGTCTATACAAAGTGACCTGTCTTGGCTGTGTTTTAGTGGACTAGTATTTTGTAAGATACAGCCACATTTCATTTATTATACTGTTGCGTATCTACTTGTTTGTTAATTTCCAGTATAAATTCTTTCCGATAATCTTCAGTGATACAAGTCCTTTCTTAATTAAAACTAGTTTATTCTCTCTCGTTACAACTTTGTAATACATAGAATTTTCATAGTCACTTTAAACTTAACAACCTTTATAACACACATTATAAATCACAGCTATTCACACACTTTACTTATGGTGCCTACTGTTCGCTCGACTCAATTATCTATCTCTTCGATCCTGCTGGTTTTTCTCGCCAGGCTTACATACTAAAAAAGAGGGCGTACTGAAAAAACTCGGTCTTCTCCGATAATTCATGATCCTTCGAGAAACTCCAGCACACATGCTCCCAGCGTCACATGATTTCCGCTGTAGTAACAATACATTATACAATGTATATAATTATTATATAATTATGTAATGTATACAGATTATCAATATTTTAAAAACAAGTTTTTAAACTTATTTTTCTTAAAACATAGAACACTAAATGAAGAAGTAAAGCAAACAATTATCTCTTTTTGTTACGACCTTTGTACTCAGTTGCTGTTTCATGTAGCTTGCTGAACCTCAAGAAATTTTGCACGTGGAGGATGTGAAACGAAACATTTTTTTTTAGGTTTTATATATACATGTGAATAACTATATCGATACCATAGAATTCCACTATAATTTATCAAGTTTAGTAACTAAGCTGTATTTGGTCTAAACAAATATGAAATTTTGAGCAGACTAAAGACACAATTTACCTCCTTGAAATCTCATTTCGAAAGAACAAGATGGCATCCTAACACATGAAAATGGCTGAGAAAACCACTAGGGAGACATTCTGAGCTTTTGATTGGTTATTTAGATGTCATATACACAAGTAAGTGTATATAAGGGACCATTTCCAAAAATGGAAAGAGGTGAGTGTGGCCACTGTGTTTGATTCAGTACATAGGCAATATCTCGGCAAATAGAAAATATAGAAGGTTCTTATTTTATATTCTAGCTTGTTAATATCAGTAATTTGAGTTCCTAATTCATACGAAACTATAGACTTTGTATTTTGACATCACAAACATCTAATTTGAACCAGTGCTGCATTCAACATAACATGTGCCACACAAAAATCAATGTTTATGTGTGTTTTTAATATTTACTTTTAAATTAGGAAATTAAATAATGTATAATACTAAAATTGGGATAATAATCTACAGTTTGATACCAAACTTATTGACATAAATTCATAAACTATTAGTTCAATAAAATTTTGAATGCAAGTCAATAAATACAATGACATGGCCTTTGACTCATGACCTGTAGCAATAGGATTAAAGAGATACAATAGCAAAAATAACAGGTAAAATATAAAGTATTTTCTGCAGAAAAACGTTTGATAATTACCTGGAGGTTATAAAGATTTCGCATGTGAAATTTGTCAATTTTCTGATGCATAATAATTTTTTAATCTTAAAATCAAAACTACTTTACATGTTGGATAATCAACATTCGAAAAGAAACAAATGCATGAGCAAATCATTACTTAAAAAAATCTTTAAACTTGGTAAAAAAATTATGATATTTTGTATACAAAAGCCTTGTAATGTTTACTGATAATCTACAAAATTTTGTTAAAATGCACATACTGTATTAAAAGTTATATTATGAAAACTATAAGAAGCACAAAATGGTTACAAGGTCTGTCCCTGGGACCAAGCCTGTGGTGAGAGAGATACGGTATCGTATTGAAAGTTAACATTTTCATACACTGAAAATGCATTTCTGATAGATACTTGCCTCTTCTTAAACTTCCCACCCATCCTCCCCAGTTCTGGTGCTTACTTTTTGCCTAATCTTGAAGTGAAGATTGAGTTCTACCATATAACAGCTTTTCTTGATGATTACTGCCCACTCTGTGTGCACATTTTCACTCACCACTAGCCTTGCACCCTCACCTACCTCCACATGTTTGCACATGGCACTTTGTAGTATGCAAATTAGTATGCTACAATGGTCCACCAATAGGAGTGTGAGACACTCTCCTAGTGCAGCTGACTCCCTCTATACTAGAGAGGTAAGTATCTGTTGGAAATACATTTTCAGAGTAGGAAAATGTTAACATCAAGCAACCCTAATTATAAATGTGACCTTGTATTCATAGCTGTAACTGAATGAACAAATGCAGCTATCTTAGTTATAAATTTGGCTGTGTATTGGTAACTGTAATTGAATAAGCCAATCCAGCTATCCTAGTTATAAATGTGGCTGTGTATTGGTAGCATCAATTAAATTAGCCATTTCAACTACTATGGTTAATAGCGTAACTGGTTACAGGTAGCCATATCTATGTAAGCCATTTCAGCTACTGTAGTCATAAATCTAATTAAATAAGGCAATCTAGTTGCACTAGTTTTAGATTTATTTGTATGATATATTTAATAGGAAATAGTTGTGTGTATTTTATTTTTCCTTTAGTCATTGAAACAGAAAAAGAGACAAAAAAGGTTGTGGCTCTAAAACTTCTGGCTCTGAAAGTAGCCTCATATCTAAAATGGGACTTGAATCTTTTGGAAAAAAAGTAAGTTTGCATAATTTTTATTAGATTACTGTAGTAAGATACAGATATCATTAAAAAGTAAGCATGTATAATTGGATATAAGTTCATACAGCTGTAGTGATAACTACTGAGTTTTTAAATTGGCAAACAAAATTTTACTGCTACAAATTTTAAATTTGAAAATTTAATGAAGAATTGTAGTATTTTATACTTGATTTTTTTTTGTTGGTTATAATAGCTACTCAATTTCTCCATGTGTGAAAAGCTTTTGAATTTTTATGAAGCTCATTTTATGCCAACAAATCAAAGGATATCATTATTCTAGAGTAATGTGGTAATTCTATTTTTTTATGTTGTTGTTCTACACAGAAAAATAGAGCTGGGCAATAAACTTGGTAATTGAGTTGCTATGAACATTTATTACATTGATTATCATGTTATATTGGAAATACTATTGGAAAATGTTGAGTTTCCATAAGATACTGTAGGCACAATTATATCAATGTGCCAATGAATTTCAATTTTTCATGATAGAAGGCAACGTATGGATGGATGCTTTACTCTGATGTAAACAACAATATACAACAAACAAAGTGTTATTTATTTCATGAATATTTTTGATGTAAACAGTAAAGTAACAAAATGCAACAAACATCTCTAATCAAAAAATAGTAATAATTGGAAATATAAACTTTGATTAACCTGAACAGCCTTGAATTAATATAAAATAATTATGAGAAGAAACTGTGGGATTCTAGCTATATGTGAGAAGAAGATGGAGACTATACTGAAAATATATTTCATATAAAATATGAGTTTGGTTGACAGGTACTTCTTATAAATGGGGCTGATTTAACTTTAATTTGAGGTGTGTTCATTAAAATTGTTGTTGAAATTGCCAGTGTTATTGCAGGATCTTGTGCATCAGAAACACCTCTTTTGTATTTCTGTAATGTCTCTGCAACAATAGAATGAAATCCAAAATTGAAAAAGTGTGCAAAAATTTCCAGAAATATCTGTACCACATGGGTACACCTAAATCATGATAATTTATGCAACTTCATTGGTGGTCACATAACTAGGAATAGTTATAAAACACAACATTACCACTTTCTGTGCATAGTAGGAAAGGAGAATACTATGAACAATCACAGAATTTCATGTTGAATGGGTCCTGATCAGAATCTGCTCTAAATACTGACAGTTGTTATTTCTTGCCTTTGGAGGTTTATGAATATGAGGTTTGTTGATAAAGCTGATGTTAGATTCAGTATGGTCTCCATGATAAAGTTGATGTTAGATTCAGTTTAATTTCTGTCATATGGCTTATGTTTGATTGAGTTTAGTTTTTCTGATAAGAATAGTAAGAACATCAACATTCCTATAAAAATCAGCTTTGAGTTTTTCTATGCCTCTGGATGATACTGGTTACAATATAATACAAGTTTTGTTTACTAATAAACTTTTTCTACGTGTGTATATTTAATTTTTCTATGAATTAGGAATATAGTTCTTGTTAATTATTCAATTTCTGATTATCAGCTACATATTAAAGTAAGTGAGAAGAAAAATATTGAAGTTATGTTTAATTTATGACATTTTCAAGTTAACAGTCAGGATTCTGCTATTACACATTCATTAGAATTTAAGTCTTTCTTTCTATGTATGCAGTAACTTGAAACTTTGTTGTTTTTTGTTTTGTTGATACTTAACCACCTGTTGAGAAAGAAACGACTCGTATGTTTTCTGCAGGTTGCCTCTTCCAATGCAGCAGACCTTACTGACATACTTACAGAAGATAACTACTAATACGGAACAAAACGTGGTACAAGAATTGCCTCTGAATGATCTCTCTGTAGATGGCCGTTTTGCACACGTGTTATTGTATCGCTGGTATGTTTTCTGTTACTTAATGCACAGTCTTATAAAAATCAGGAAACTTCTAATAACTTCACATAAATAAATATCTAAGATTAATGTCCTTGTGTGACATGCTATTTGGCATAGCATTAAAACATAATTATTTTTTGGTGTTTTGTATCATTGATGTTTATTTCTCTCTAAAGACAGTTACTGTCTTGGATGTTGCAATTTTTCCTTTAAAATGTTAAAAGCTTTTGTTGTGTATTTCTGTGTTTCTCTTGAAAAAAATTGATATTATTGTTCTGACCTGCACATAACTCATTGACGAAAATGTGGTTTGCCTGATTTGAATCTGTAAGTTTTCTTTTGCAAACAGCAAACATTAATCATCCTAAGTTTGTGTATTTCTTTTTAAGAAAGTAGAGTCAATATTATAAAGCTGTGAATATTTTAAAAGTATTTAATCATTTTCCTGAATCTGTGCATTTCTCTGAAGACCATAAAGAGCTATTTTTTTAAATCTGAGCATTTCTGATTGAAGAAATAAAGAGCCAAGGTCAAGAGAAACACAGCTTTAGGACCCTGACCTCTTATATTCCCTAAACAGAAAAGCTGAGAATTCAGATAGTGACTCTTTACTTTCTGTTCAAAAAACAGACATTAGGACAAATATTCTCTACTATTTTCAATGAGAAATGTACAGATAAAAATCAGTAAATCTTTAATTTCTTTAAAAAAAAATTAGGACAGTGACTTTTCAGTATTTTCAAAAATAGTTCTACATACCCCAAACAATTGGTCTTTATTTTTTTAATGAGAAATAAACAGTTTCAGTACAAAAAACATTATTTGTTTAAAGAGAAATACAGACATCCATGATGAAGTAATGGCCTTAAGCCTACATTTTGCTGTTTGACATCAATAAAAAAAGCCATTGCCCAGAATCTGTTCATTTCTCTTTGTTGCAAATATGAGTAACAAAGCATATTATATATATAATCTGGAGAAAGGTAGAGAGCCACAGCCTTGATTACCTTCATTTTCCTTTGAAGCAATTCCGATATGGTACATAACCTCCTCTCACATAGATAGCTATTTTTGTTCAGTGCTGCCCTCTATTTGCAATACAATTTTTACGCTTGTCACAAGCCTTCTCTCATGCAAATCATCATGCATCAATCCTCCACTAATAAGAGTGCAACATACTCTCATGCAAATCATCATGCATCAACCCTCCACCAATAAGAGTGCAACATACTCTCATGATGCATGTGGCTCCCTCTATTCAATTCTACCAAACTATCACTTCTCGATTGGCAATACTCGAGTTTTGATGTTTTTTTTCTGTTGGTGCTTTTTGTGTGAACCATGATTTTAATAGTTTAATTGCCAGAGTGGGATTTCTTCATTATTTTTATTTTTTTTACTAGTGAAGAAATCTTTTCATTTAATTTAATTTCCCAGTCTTTTTTTTTTCCTCACACACTCGCATATTTTATATCAAACACTTTTGTCTGACTTACATATTTCTACAATGAATTCTGAGGTTCATGTTCCCACTTCGGGTGTTATACCTCTAGCACTATTTTCACAGGCTGCAGGTGAGAAGATTCATTGTTTGCTTTCTGTGCTATTGTTCATCATGAGATTGATCATTATAGGAATAAACCACTAATCCTCCTAAACAAACTGAACCTGTTCAGGCCGATGAAGATTTGAGAGCCTTTTTACACCACCAGATTTTGTCGTGTTTTTCCCTACCCCTCCTGCAAAATCAGCTAGGCCTAATACGGCATTTTCCTACATGATTTCTCAGGTATGTTATTTTTTATCCAATTCCTCATTTTTCTATGATTCCTTGTTACCTCCATGTTGGCTCATTTGTCGTATTTGGCTCTTGCTTTACACACGTGGTTTCACTGTAGTTGGGATTTTCTGGGTTGTGATGCGACCTTGTCCCAGGTATTTTTGCCACCTCTTTCTTTTAGGGATTTCTGTATTTGTTTTGGTGATAAGTTTTTGCTCATGTATCTGTGACTTTCAAAGCTTGTCTGTAATCTGTGCATCAACACTTGACCCTTCCTCTTTGGTTGCACGTTTGTCGTAGCTGGAGCCACGACATGTCCCTATTCCTTTCCCATCCTGGTCCTTATCTGCCCGTCCCTGTTCCCCTTCCAGGGGTTTCTCATTTCGTCATTTTATTCAGCGTTGATGGGCGTGTTGCCAACAGTACCAGAGGGTTTCAGTCCAGTGGATGCTTGACTGTATTATATTGTTACCCTTCGGTAATCTTTCACAACAGTTCCATGGGTTCTTCGGGTTTTATCAGAGGGAATTGTCATCCAGTTTCTTTCCCTACCTCCTTTGTCTGTGATACCCCTTTTCTTTTCCCATGACTTGGATCCTGCCAACAGTCTGCATCTGTCCAAGGTGGTACAAGATTTTCTTTTGCCACAGGCTGTTGAACCTGCTCATCATCTTTCCCCAGGCTTTTATTCCATGCTGTTTGTTATCGTCGCTCCAAGCAGAAGACTGGCAGCCTATACTAGGTTTTTCCCACCTCATTCTAATTTTCAATCTTTCCTGTTTTACCTTGGAGTCATTTCTCACCCTTAGGTGGAATTTTTCTCCAGATTTATCAAGGACAAAGAGTAATGTTGCGAATACTTATTTGCATATCCCAATATTTCATCACCCGTGACATTTTCTTTGGTTTATTTTCCACAGAGTAGTTTCTCTGTTTCATGCACTGCCCTTCAGACTAGCTTTAGCCTTGTATGTTTTGTCGGGTGTTCAGAGCATTCGTTCGTCACTTATATGCTCTCGGGTTGTGTTTTCCTTTTTCTTTGGTCAATTGGCTACTATTTGCTTGTTCTGAACAGGAGTCGTCGGTTACCCTTTTCAGCTGCTTTTGGGAGTGGCCATAATGGGCTGTTAATCAAATTGGAGTAGTCCTTACTGCAATCTGTCGAATATCTTGTCCACTTTGGTTTTTTCTTTTTCTACACACATCTCAGTCGGGCTCACCCTTCTCCTTTTTAACTTTGCTTGATGGGTTTTCAGTTGGATTACAGCTCGCGAAGTTCTGTTACTTTTGGAAATGTGATCTTCCATGGTAGCCTGAGCTCCATAGGTCAGGCTCATGTGTGGGCTCTTTGTGGGCCTTTTATGACCAGTGAATTTTGCAAGGATTCTTTGCCAGCTCTTATTACCATTCCTCCTACCCTTATCATCGGTTGGTGTTGGTGGTTAAATATGACTTGCATGTTGGTGGGTATCCTGCTTCTTCCTCCTCATCCTGTTTTCCACATTTCATAGATGCATCCCTTTGGGGATGGGGGTCGTGGGTTGATCAACTAGAAGATTCAAGAGTTTCTGGTCTGCGGCCAAGAGATCTTATCCTATCAACATCCTGGAGCTTCTCACTATAGGTCATGTTTTGGTTCATTTTCTCCATTTGGCCAGAAATCATCTGGTAATGATCCATTCTGACTTTTCTTTAATGGTTCCTTAGCTCAGTCACCAGGGCAGCTCCCATTCTCCATTCCTTTGTATTCAGACATTGGATCTTTTGGGGCCCACAAGCTCGATATTCATATCATTGCATGTCGTGTTCTGGGTGCTTTTGCTCTTGTCATGGATTGGGTTCCTGTCGAAACATAAATTTATCTGATGGAGTGGTCTCTCAATCCTTTTAATTTCCAGTTTATCAAAGCAAATGGAATTTTTCTGCCATTGGTTTATTGGTCCAGGGTTTTCCCCTGATCAACCCACTGTTCTTCATCATGTGGATTTCCTCTCTTGATTTTTGGATCGGAGGTCTTCTGTGTCCTTGGTCTCGGATTTTTGGGTGGTCCTGTCCCACACCATTAGTTTTTCTCGATCCCACGGTATTTCCCTTTCCTACACTTTAGCTGTGGATGTTTTCCTTCCAGATTTGTCATCTGCCACAGCAAGCTATCCTTTCAGATGGGGATATTAATGTGGTTCTACACTGCCTCACTTTGCCTACGTCCAAACCACTCTCCCAGTGCTACTTGTTTTCCCTTCTTTTTGCCTGTGGATGTCAATAGTCTGTTTATTTGCTATCGATGTTTCATGTATTCTTTATCCTTCTACATATCTTCTCCTTTCTCTAGATCATTTTTCCTCCTTCCCACTTTGGCGGCTCATGAGGATAACTCTTCTATTCAGCTGCTTTCCCTTCTATTTGTTTCACACCTTTATCCCTGTTCTGATCCAGATAGACATCTACGTTCTGTTTATGCTCTTCTCTGTTATATTGCCTGCATGGCTTCCTTCTGTGGTGTCCGTTCCCACCTCTTTCTTCCTTGGCCACTGTTCTCTGTATATATTCTTTCTCCTTCGCCAGTTGGGTTTATAGTGTGCGCTGCATAGCCATGGATCTATAATATGGAAGTCGACATGGCTTGACAGTGTGGATTTGAACAGTTAAAGAATACCTGGTCAGGCACCACTTACCACAGAGCGGGATCCAAACAACGAATATTAATAAAAGGGAAAAGACCCCCGAAAAAGAAAAAAATAAATAAAATAATGCACCCAGTCAAAGTCTCACTGAATTCTGATATTCTAGAATGGCTACAGGTAGAAGACAATAACCCAAAGATAAAGAAAACTGCATTCTGATGCAAATAGTGAGAGCAGTCCACATGCCCAATTAAAGAAATACTTCTAAATGATGACAAAGATGAAACGGCAATGAAAAGGTAAGGTGTTGAATTGAGTGAGAAGACACATGGAAAACTGTATTGGAGGAAGAACCCAATCAAATGAAGAGCAGAGATGGGGCATTCCACAAGATCATTTGAAGGTTTATCCTCGTGATAGAATTGCTTCATAGGTTTGCCCGTACCAAACCGTACCCACCCATGAACTACATGAGTAAAGCAGAAGAGGATAGCTGCCCATCTCTGCCATGTGTCGTATTGAATAAATCTGCTTTTCAAAATAGGGTTTCAAGATCACCCATTGCACTGTCTCGGGTGTTGTTATTCCTCTGGGCTCTACCCCACCACCCATTTTACCCCCTTTTCTTGTAGTGGAGTTTGAGAGTCCTTACCAATTTCCAATTCCAAGCCACTGGGGTGGTGGACCATGGGGGCATCTTCCTGTGTGGGATAATGACAAACAAAATATAGAAGTGATTATAAAACCATTCAGTTGAGAGTAGGGCAGTGGTGTTCTGCTGGTGTATTTGATGTGATATTCTTCAATATGAAACATTATAACAAATGGGAGTGAGACTTAAAAATTGCAGTTTGCCCCTTCGATTGGGATTCCTCATCCTACCTTCACATGGATGTTAGTTCCAAGTGGCCGGGTTTTGGATTTGGAGTAGAACCAACCAACATAAGTCCTCACACGTGTATTACAGATGTCTATGTTCCTCCCTCATTTATATTCCATCAGTATTGTGAGTCATGATGGAGGTAATTGCTGATTGTTACAGTTCTTCCCCTCCACTATCCTTGAATGTTTATTATTCCGAGGATGTTAATGTGCTTGAAGTGGTTCCGGTCAATTTAATTTTTGTGGGAGATGGTTTACATTATGTAGTCATCTTTTCAATACTGGATGTCAGGTTTCCGGATTGATCTTTCACTTAATTATATTCACATGTGCCTTGTTCGAGAACCAGGGGTAGTAGATTCCCTTCAGTCTCATGAACTTGAGGTGAAGACAGTATGATACTTTTTCCTACCCCCACTAGATGGCTGGGTTTTGGATTGTAG